GTCCCCCCCATGCCGGCAAGGGGAGTAGCTAGTGCAGCCGGAAAGCCCCACCAAGTCCATCAGGACCGCTTCCGAGTAGCTGGGCACCAGCTGCTGGTTGGATCTGATGTGCCACTCCAGCTCAGTGCTGTCCACCGTGTTGACGCGGGGCATCCTCCGGCAGAAGGAACGTTCTTCGGCTGGCGTCACCGCCACATAGTCAAACCCAAAGAGTTTCTCCACGTGGTAATGGACATAGGAGGTGCGGTATTCGTTTAGCACCCGCAGGGGCCAGGATAGGGTCAGCAGAGCCGCCACCCAGAAGACATAGTGGGATACGTACCAAGGCAGGTTGTCTGGGTCGGAAAAGGCCACCATGTATTCCTTGAAGTCCACATTTTTGAGGTGCATCCCCTCCCTGGCCTCCATGTAGTCATCTAGGCCCTCATTCTCTGTGAAGAAGCGGGCCCGCTGGGTCAGGTAGGAGTTCTCTGACTCCACGTTGGCAAAGCTGAAACACTTGGTGAAGCGGAGCCGCGTGGCCGGGTAGCTCTCCAGGTCAATGAGGTCCTTGGAGATGTCCTTAACTCCACAGTTGGAATAATCAAACTCGGCCTCTGCCACGTGGGTGTTGACTCGCTCATGATACACTTGGGTGGTGGTGTAGGCATCCCCGTTGCGGTAGCGGGTAACCTGCCGGGTCCTGCGGACGTAGTGGTAGCTGATGGCCTTCCACCAGATGCAGGGGGTTGCCTGCTGCATCCGTTGCACACGCTCGTGCACGCTCTCCACGTCCACTTTGTACTGCAGCTCGTTGCGGGTGTAGCAGTGCCAGCACTCCACCAGGTACACCACGTAGAGCATCACCAGGAAGGCCAAGGGGATGTAGACGTAGCCGTTGGAACAGGGGCTGTCGTGGTACATCATGGACTTGCCCTTGTAAGCGCTGTCAAAGGTCAGCCGGGTCACCTTGGTGACGTGGCACCAGGTCATGGCTCCCATGCAGCCGTACATGAGGAGGGACAGCAGCAGGCATTTCCAGTGGGACTCTCGGCACAGGGACTTGCTGAGAGACTGCTTCACCGGCCGCTGCTGCTCCGGGGGACCGGGGAGAAGGAGAGAGAAAACAAGAGAGGAGTCAGCAGGCTGCAGCGGCAGGGGGAAGGGGAGCAGGCAGCAGGGTGCCATGGAGGCACCTGTAGCTCCACGAACGGGGACAAACAGCAGAAGCCATAGGGCTCCTAGCCTCAGCAGGCAGCCTGGAGACCAGGATCTCTCCCAAGGTGACGGTCCTGCAGCGTGGGCAACTGTCACCCCCCTCCCTTCCCTTCGCAGTGCTCTGCCCCTCCTTGGGAGACAGGCAGAGCCCAGCTGGATGTGGAGGAGAGCGACAGAGGGCAACCCTGCCAGCCCGCACCCCGAGCACCCCCCTTCTTCAATGGGGAGTAATCCCCACCACTGCCACGTCCCCAAGATGGGTACTGAAGCACAGCAAGATGGAGGCTGGGGCATTTCCCCCACAAACCTCAGCTTCTGCACCCATCCCACCGGCGCAGGCAGCTCTAACTGATGGGTCATCCCACCTGAACACCCCACCACAGCTCACCCCACCATGCCTCTCACCACTCGCACATGAGTTTCTCCCCCTTTCCCAGTAATGAGCGACAGCAACATTCAGATTTCTCCTACCAGGGCAGCACAAGCAGCCAGGGGTGCCTGTAAGATGGAGAAATGGACCTTCTGCATCTGGGAAGGTCTCTGTTTGGTAATGGCGATTCCCACCACAACACTTGGCAGCCCAAAGGGCTCTGAAGTGCTTCTCAAGTGCTTCATAAACCACACAAACAGGAAAGTACTTTTCTGCGACTGAAACGCAGCCGCTTCTTGTGGGAGAGAAAGCAAATATGGAATAACATCTTAAAAGGCATTCAGGAAGAGAAGAGTACCCCACTGATCTGCAGCAGCAGGGAGGGTGAGTGGTGGGTCACGGCTGCCAGCAAATGTCCCTGCCTGCACTGGAATTTGACTGTCACAGCCCATACTTCTCAAAAAACTGCTCTCAGGTCTTTCATGGTGAGGAAAGGGCAGGACTTCAGCAGTGGGACTTTTAAAAGATGTTGCACTGCTGCCGTCACCATAGGAACTGTGCAGGGTTTCACAAAGACCTGGGAAAAACCCCACTTAAGGAAACCTCTGTCACTCCCTGCAACACCCTGAAGTCTCAAATATTGATTCAGCTTCGTCAGTGAGAACTGACATTATCACACCCAAAGGGAGAATGTGCAGAGGTTATTTGCTTTCTTAAACAAAAGACGTCATCCAGCCCAAATGCCATCCAACCCAGCAATCTCCAAAGGTGCGACCTGAGAGAGGGAGGCAAGAACCCCAGCCTTGTGCAGATGCCACTAAACTCACTAAGAGGCTTTCAGCTTTGCTTTCCCTCCCCAGCTGCACGCAGCACGGCTCCTGAGCTCACCTCTGCCATTGCAGGGGCTAATGTCAGTGGTAATGGCACCACTCAGGGCAGTGAAATTCAAGTTTGACCCCATCCCTCCTCCATTCCTGAGCACACTGGGCTGGTGAGGTCTCTCATCCAGGGATCCCAAAGAGCTTAATGGACTCACACTGCCAGAAAGTAGGGGGGGCACTTTCACTCTTGCATGAAAAGTGAAATTAAAGCAAGAACCAGATGCACACCACCACTGGCAGGTCTAGAGACAGATCTTGGCCTCTTCTTTCCTCTAAGAAATCCCCCCTGCTCTCCCTGAAGAGCCCCTCAGCCCCGTCTTGGTCCGCTAGAGTCCCATGTGCTAACCCTTCCTCCATACACCTCACCAAAGCCTGGTCCACCCCATGCCAGTGGGACTTCTGCCACTGCAATTAGCAGGGCTGGATCTGGCCCAAATCTGCAACAGAGGTTTCTCTCCCGGAGGCAGGGAGCTTCCCTTCCCACCCACCCCAGCAGCCAGCCTGCGATGAGCACCAGAGGAGCGGCGAGGGGAACGACGGCACATCCCAGGGGTCCCAAGCATCAGTAGCGCTGAGGACCCACCTTTGGGGCAACTGCCTGAGAGCGAGAGCTGGCAACAGAGACACAGAGCCCAGGGAAGGCAGGTGGGGTAGCGCTGGTCTGCAGGCAACAGCGAGGGGCACTGGGCAGTTCTGCTCAGCCTCTCCGGCACGGACACATGTGCGCCTCAGTCTTCGCACTGCGACCCTCCACTGCAGCAGCCTCACGGTCACGGGGCAAGAAGGGCACCCCAGCTCAGAGAAAAGGGAGCGAGGAGAGGAAGGGGGGGGCACAGAGCAGGCAGAGCCACCTGAGCTGTGCCCTCCCTGCTCAGGTCCACGCTGCGGTTACAAGAGCCTGCCCGGATCTCTCTGCCTTTGCTCGGCTGCAGCACGACTCTCCCGCGCTGGACTGCTGTGCCACTACCCAGGCGGCTGAAGGTTTCCTCTCCCACAGCTGCCTTCTGCCTTGCAAATCCTCCCCGCAGCGGCAGCCCTGGCTGTGAGGCTCTAAGAGGACTGCTCAGCCGAAGGAGGAGCACCGGGGGTCTGAGCAGGAGATGCAAGGCACACACTAACCCTGGGGTGTCTTGTGGGGTGCAAGGGCTTGCAGAGAAACAGTGCCTTGTTTGGGGGAGGATCTGCAAATGGAGCACAAGGAGTAAAGCAAAGCGTTCAGCTCACTCATTTGACAAGCTGAGGAAGGGGCACCATGGAGGCAGGTCTTCAGCCAGGTCTGTCTCGGAAAAGCAAAATCCACCTCCCAGTTGCTCCCCAGCCCCTCACATCCCACACTGCCTGCGTCATCCTGCTCAGGAGAAGGGTGATGCTGGCGCTCGCCCTGTGGAGATGCAGGCAAGCCCCGCTGCGGTTACCCACCTGGGGCAGGGCGGCAGGGAGTGCGATGCAGCCCAGGCTTAGTTCCAGGAACTGTGTTAGCAGGGCTCTAGTCCACGCAATAGTCTCCTCCTAGGACTACGCAGCATTTAGATACTGCAGCGCTTTTACAGGGTCACGCTAACCCCTGCTGTAAACTGTTTACAACCCAGTTTTGTCCTAGGCTTTTGAGGTAAAACACATACACATCAGCTGTGCTGGAGGGGTTTCTGAAAGCTGATCAAGTGCCAATGACAGGGGATACAACCACAGCAGAGACGGAGGAGGAGCCAGCTGCAGAGTCTAATCCCAGTAGGAACTGCAGCATCCCTGCTCCTCTCCTGGGCTGCAAAGGGCTCACAGGAGCAAACAACCAGCTCCGCAGCTTGCCCCCACAGAAGCAGCTGAATAAGGTTGCCTCCCTGAGCTCTTAACCAGCCTTGGAGAAGTCCAGGACAGCAAACATGCAGATGAAAAAGCTGGGAAAGGGAAATCCTTTCCGTCCCAGAACAGTGTCACTGAGAGGAGAGCAGGCTCTGATATAAACGCCATCATCATCTGCCCGCTGCAGTCTGATGGAACAAGGCGAAAGGCTTGCCCTACTTCACTGCAAACAGGGTTTCCCTCCATCATTGGGAGCCTCCCCCATTGCTCAGGCTTGAGCACTGGAGAGTGGTAAGCAAATCTGCTATTGCAGGTGCACCTAAACGTCTCTGCAGTGCTAGAGGGCAGAACTGGTCCAGCCATGGCTTGGGCAACCCCTTTGGGGGACCCCAGTCAACTCCCTTCTCTGTGCTTCAGCTCACCATGTAGAACACATGGGAGAACCCTAATCAGACGCCTGGGCACTAACTGTAACACACGCTGGTAAGGGCAGGGGGTAGATCGCTGCTACAGCCTCCCCTCCTTCACACATAGCACTTGCCTCTGATGTTGCCCCTGAGGTGAAAGGAGATGGAGTCCCACACCTGCAGCTGCTGCTCTGGGATGCATGGGAAGGGGTGGAGGGGATGATTTACAAGCAGCCATGAAGCAAACAGAGATGCCTGCAATGCACAGGGCAGAGGCAGTAGAAGAGGGGGCCCCCATCACTGCTTCCATGAAACTTCTTTGAGATCTGGGGAATCCTCTTGTCAAAAAAATAAAAAAAATCTCAAGAGGACAAACCTGCCCAGCACCCCAGTGGCCAAGCACATGGGTCAAAATAGCTTCATCACCCCTACAACCTGGACCCTGCAACTTTGAACACTAAACAACTCCAGAAGTCTTTCAAGTTCTACAAAGCTCCTCTCTAAAATAGCTTGTCACCTGCCTCTCCCTGCAGAGACCAGCCTGAAATCTCCAGTTCACCCCCAGAACACTAAGCCCTCACTTTACGAGATGCCCTGGCGTTCAAAGCGTTAGGTGTCCTAGAGACAGCCCTCTACGGGGCTGGAAAAACAAATCAAAAGCCCCAGAGCAGCAGCCTGAAGGCCCAGGTAGCTCCTGAGTGCCAGGCTGTGGCAGCAGCTTGCAGGGGACTCCAGTGGGACTCCTGAGTTTCCATCAGTTTCCGTGGCTCTGCCCTGCCAATAAGCTTACATCACGCAACAAATGAATAAGCCCTGTCCCCTTTTACCTCAGATCCCCAGAACAAGGCAGGTGGGGAGGATCCAGTAGTTTCTAGGAACTGCCACCATCTTCTAAGGCCCCGGACAGACATTGGCAACTCCTGGTAAGAATGGGCCCACATCACACCCCACATGCCTACAGCCCAAATTCAGGATCTACCTGCCTAGAAGAAAGAGCTGGCTCAGCCCCAGGCTGGCAGCATTGCCAACTGCAGAGGAAAGGGGAAGGCTGAGCATTTAGGAGCCAGGGAACCCTGCCAGCAGTCAGCTCCTGCAATAGTACCAAGGTCTCCATTTTACGAAGCAACTTGGAGGAGGACTGGTTCTCTCCGTTGGTTCCCACCTGAGCAGCAGGACAAGAACATTTTTTAGCTTGTTCCCAGGCTGAAGAGCTTATCTCTTGGCATTTCCTACCCTCCAAGGTAGAAATACATTGCTGAGTGAGGTTCAGCTCACCACCCTTAAGTGCAGGTGTATACATGTAATGCCAACAGGGAACAAGGGCTCAGCCAGCCCTCTACAGCCAGCTCTGGCCAGTAGCTCTTGCTACTTGCCTTGCTGGGACAAGCTGAGCGGCACCTGAAGCCCTGCATGGCTCTGAGGTACAGTGATCCAAGACATGTCAAGATGAGGCACCTTCCAACAGGACAGACCTCATTTCCCATTTTCCAGTCCCCAGACATCTCCTCCGGC